CACCTGCACGACCTCCAGCTCCGCTAACCCCGAAGGCGCCGGGCGCCGGCGCCCGCATCAACCCCATCCCACACGCCGGCGCCGACACCGCCGTCCCCGCCTAACGTCATGGTTAACCTCAACATCACATTCGTTTGCACTCTGCTCCCCAAGGCCTTCAAGAACTTCTTCCCCGGTTGTGTAGCTTCACCTGACCCAGCTCCAGCTCCGTCGCAATCTCGTGAAGTTTCTCCCCCGCAAATCTCTGCTCCACCATCACCATCACCAGCACCAGCACCGGCACCGTGGTCGCCAGGATCTCGGGCAAATGCTGATACTAGAAACAGGACCTCAATAGCCAAATTTGCTATCGCAGTTGGCTTGGTGGTGTTGTTAGTGCTGCTCTCGGTTGGCTTAATATCGCTTCTCCTCAGACTACTCTGTTTTCTTCTTCGGAATTAGATTTGCTCAATGAGGACAAATTTTTCGTAAATTTTTTGTAGTAGTTTCTTTCTCTTGTCAATGGAGGTATTTTGGTCAATTGGTTTTTCTTCTTTTTTCTTTTTTTCCCTCCTCCTTTAATCTTTTCCTTTTGTGAGGGAGCAAAAAGGATATTATTTAGCTTGCTTTTATTTTTAATAAAGTTTACAGATTAGTGCAACTTATTTATCTCCATTTTGGAGTTTATTTATGTCCAAGTTTTTGGAGTTGTAATGACATGAAGACTGTTGCTTCCATATAATCATTATCTCTAGACATCTGAAGTAAGCATCGCGATGGGCATAAATCTTTTCATCACGTACGTAGACCCTTTTATGAACAATAAACGACTTTGATTGGGAAAAGGACTCCTTACTGTCCGTACCGTAGAGAACTCTGAAGACTTGAAGTCAATTACAGAAACACTAGGATTAGGAATTGTAATTGACCATGAGTTCTCAAAGAGTTCATATGACGTCGGCCTATAAATTAATAAGCCATGATCCCCTGAAATTAACTCTGAACCAAAACAACATGGCCTCCTCGTCTAATATTCTTCGAGTTTCTGTCGTAGTCTTGTTTCTTAGTCTGGGAAAAACCTTTGCTTCTTGGTTCTTCTTCGACGACTTACTGAAGACGAGCCACTGCCACCATCGTCACCACCACCGCCACCACCGTCACCACCACCACCACCATCACGGTACCGATCGACGCTGGAGCCCGCCACCATCTCAGTCATGGCCGGGGGCACCCGCTCTCCCCACCATGAAGACGAGTGCTCACTCTGTAAATTGCTGTGTTTTTTTTGACAAAAAAAAAAACAGCAAATTGTTGTGTTTGATAATATTAATCTAGTGTTAAGGATTTTTTTTTGTCCAAAAAAAACAATAAATCAAGAATTAGGGTGCATATTAGTCGTATGATAATGTTGATATTTTCTTAAAATAATATTGGCATCCTATTTCCGGGAGCAATGTTGTGCTCATTATGTACACAAGCATTAATTTGTTTCTCTTTAAAGGAGGAGTTATGAAAAGGGTAAATTACATTAAACCCCCATGAACTTTCAGTATTTTACAGTAAACACCCATGAACTTTCAAAATCACACTAAACCTCCATGAATTTTTTGGAATTGCTGAAAAGCCCCCATGAATTTTCTGAGTTTTGTAGATAACCCCCGTAAATTAGAACCAAAAAACAACATAGGAAGGCATTCTGAAAATTTATAGGGGGTTTAGTGTAATTTACCTAAAAGTTCATGGGGGTTTTCTGCAAAAGCTATTGAGGGTTTAGTGTGATTTTGAAAGATCCTGGGGGTTTAGTGTAATTTATCCTTAATTATGAAAGCTGAAAAATTCAGATGGTTCCAAAATGGAAATTTCCATTCCCGGATGGAAGTCACCTCTACATTCCCACAATATTGTTTTGTAAAATAGAAATGTTAGGGGCACACCCCCAACCACATTCTCCACCATACCTCCTCTCACTCTATAGTGCATTGGGCCCCACATCAAATTTTTTTAAAAAAATTGATGTGGTGCCCAATGCACTATAGAGGGAGAGGAGGTATGGTAGAGGGTGTGGTTGGGGGTGTGCCCCTATCACCACTCTTTGTAAAATACCATAGTAGAGGACGGCACGTTCTGAAGTGAAAGGAGTATTTAAATAAATTTTCGTTACAATATTTTATGAAATCAGTAATTTACCATAACTAGCATTTTTTGAGAAAACAACCATCTTCTGTTAAAAATAGGAACAAAGCCAGTTCAACCTTCAAGTGTCTCTTGCATTGTAATCATATAAGATATTGGCTTTCTATTATTAGAATAATGTAGAGTGCATAAAGAGAGTGGGCATCTCCTCAATTTTCTCCATGTCTGCACCCTTGGCTCAAGTGGAACAAATTAAACTTGTAAGTATTTTGATAGTATATATTTTTTTTAATGGCAAAGTCTAAACTTGTCATGTGCGATATACGTATTACAAGGGAATTGTCTTTGTCTTCACTAACATTTAAACTAAAAATATGAGAAAAATATTCATTGTATAGCTATAGAAATGTCTGGAATAATAATAAGTAATTATAATATTTCAAGAAATATTGGTCAGCTTCTATAACTTAGCTCAAGTGTTAAATAAGCTATAGCAATAATTGCATCCTAAGCTTTCTTACTAAAATCATGCTCTTGCTTGTATTTGCTTCAATACGGAGGTCCTAGATCCAGGATTCAAGATCCAAGTATTAATGAAATTCAAATTTCTCAATATGTTAGACGCCTTCACATGAACTGCTTGCGGTATTTTGTTCTCCTGCCAGCTTAATTTCTAAAATTCCCTGTATTAAAACTTTAAAATTATGATACAAGTCAAAAGGTACAATATTCTTAAATTTGACATGCGATATTAATGAACATAATTATGTTTGAATTGAATACCAATATTAATTCTATCTAGATTTGAATTTGAATTACTCTATATATAATATATTAACCATTAACCAATAGTAATAATAATCTGATTACCTCTAGAACGGAACATGTTAATTTCTCTAATATAATACACAATTAATCATATTAATGATCACCATACCTACTAGAATTACAAGCAATGCAACATATTTTCTCAAAAAGAAAAACATTTCAAAAATCCTCATCTCTCAAGTAGTATCATTACCATGATTGTCCCAGCTGTAAAACTTCCACAATATAGAACATATGTGGTTATGCACAAATAATTTCGGGAGACAACTCAAAATACAGTTGATTATGTCCATTATCAATCAATATTAATGAATGTAATCTTAGATAAATTTTTGCAACCAAACATAGATTACCGAAGTATGATCAAGATCATGTTTCTTCTACTGTACAATCATAACAATGACCAAAGTCACTGAGAACTGTACTAGCAGATTAGTTCAAACTTTTACTATGCCATCTCTTCACCTTGGTTCTGAGCCATCATATTCTCCATCCCATGTATCGACTTCTCATACGTCTCCCCGTCGCCCCAGACCGCATACGCATCCTCGCCATGAATTGCATCGTCTCCGATAACCAAAATCTCGTCACTAAACCTCAAAGGCACGAAAAGCCTGACAAACAAACATATCGCACTAGTTATAGGCACATTGATGGCGATAATAAACGCAATGCCAGCAATCTGCATCCCTAACTGTCGAAACCCTGCTGCTGCCCTGTGGTCTGCCAAACTATAGAGGAGGCCGATATAGCGAGGATTGTCGCCGAAGAAGAGGGAGGTGAGCTTGGGGTCTGCAAAGAGGCCGGTGAGCAGGCCCCCGAGGATGCCAGCGACCGCGTGGGTGTGGAGGACTGCCAGGGTGTCGTCGACTTTTTTCAGGAGTTTGACCTTTTTGTGGAGTACCATCATGGTGAACCACGGGATGCTGCCTGAGAGGATGCCCATTATCATTGCTGCCCACCCTTGGACTAGTCCTGTAAAGGAAATAAAGGTTGTTGTGAAGATGTGTCTGTATGTGACACTTCGTCTGATCATTTTTCAATTTCTAGTTAAATAGTCATCACTTTTTTTTAGATATAATTATTAGCTTACATGAGAACAAATATTACTATCATATGCTAAATTTATATTGCAAAAGAACTCATGCCCTACTTTTAGATAATTTTGATCTTACAACCAATAAGCATGTCAGTTTGAATTTGGACGTATTTAGAACCTGCTCCCTAATCAAACACGCACTGAATTCTCTTAGGAGGTATGAGTGCAAATATATAAATTACACAATCATCTATAGTGAAATAATATTTAGGTTCACGTTGTTAATATACTACTTACTGCCTTTTATCATGTTAAACGAAGTATACATTTCATTCACGTGCTCTACGTACATGTGTCTTGGGATCTCAGGTTCCCCTTGCTTATGACCACAGTTTTGTAGCCAATTAGTTAACTTTTTAGAAATTAAGACAGATGAATCAAACTGTCATCTTTAAAACCCCTTAAGTATAATTTGGTAGATTCTCCTGTGTTCTACAAATTTAATAATAAGTTCATCTGTTGCCGTTGCAGCTACAATCGCGAAATACCTGCAGCGGGAGTGATGCAAACAAGTCCTGTGATCATGCCCTGGACAGCACCTATGACAGAGGGCTTGGTGAAGACGATCATGTCGAGGCAGAGCCAGACGAGGAGGCTGGTGGCGGTACAGAGGTGAGTGTTTACTATAGCTATGGATGCGTCGGCGTTAGCTGCATATGGAGCTCCACCATTGAATCCGGTCCAGCCCATCCACAACAGGCCTGCTCCTGTTAGGGTTAGCAGGATGTTGTTTGGAGGGAACCTTTCCCTGTCCTTGTTAATCCTTGGTCCAACCTGTAAAATTATGATAATCAATGTAAATTTAGCAATAAATAGAAGCATAAATATATATATTTGGTGTAGTACTTGAAGAAATTGGAAATAAATATGAAGTATAGATGCAGGTGCTAGTTGGCAACAAATTAAGTGTGGAGTTTAATTAGAAGAGTTAAACTCTTTCTTAACCTGCTAGATGCAAAAAAAAAAAAAAAATTGTACATATCCGACACAACATTTTGTACTTGAAATGAAGTGAGTTCATCATCTTGCTTAGTTTGTCAAAAGCCAAAGTTACCAAATAAGCTTGTTGAAAAGAGTTAGCCTCTTAAACTGAGGGGTTTACTAATCTAATTCTTTAGACAGTTTAAGAAATATCCATGTCATTTATAAGGAGAATAATAATAATTCTCACTGTTCCCGAGTGCTAGAGAAGAGTGCAAGGTTAGAAATAAAGCTTTGCTAGAGAAGAGTGCAAGGAGATTAATCTTTGATGCATCGATCAGGAATATCTATCTATAGATAAATTCCAAAGGAAAATATATTGCCACATGTGTATTTATTGTATTCTCACCAAAAATTAACCTTTGCATCGTAACATTTACCATACGTACAATCTTGAATAAAATTTTATCATCCGCATTCATGTAAATAACTTTATTAGGTTACTATCTAATCTCTCTAAGACTATAAATTCCCTACCCAATGAAGACACTACTAATCATGGCTATCTACTAGCCATAACTTTATTAGGTTACTATCTAATCTCTAAGACTATAAAATTAATTGATTTCGCATGCTTATGGAAGAATATGTTCAGGGTCTAACATGATATAAAACCCCCAGCAAATTAAAATGCAGAACAAATTTTCACTGCAGACTCAAACCAACTTTTAATTACCAAAACCGACCTATTTTTTTTAATTACCAAAACCGACCCACTTTATGCCACGTAAGCTTAATCTCATTTCCTAATTAGTCAGGGTTCCAACCCCGACTGTTTAGGAGGTTGTTAAACCCTAATTAGAAATCTTAAACCCGATTTTTAATGTCCTAAACAGTCGGGGTTGGCAACCCCGACTAATTAGGAAATGTGATTAAGCTTATGTGGCATAAAGTGGGTCAATTTTGGTAATTAAAAAATGGATCGATTTGGGTAATTAAAAGTTGGTTTGAGTCTACAGTGAAAATTTGTTCTTAAAATGCAAATACTCAAACGAGCCCACCCCTAGGTTTCGACCCATGAAAAAGATGCTTGATTAACGTGCGGATATTTCGACGAAGTATAGAAAGAGGTAGTCTAACCCAATAAGCAGCGGTAACTCCGGCGACCCCAGAGGACAGATGGATGACGAACCCCCCAGCAAAATCCATGACCCCGGCCTTGAACAAAAACCCGTTTCGCGCTCCCAAACGCTGACACGCCCCCACGCTGCTTAACTCAGCACCGAGCCACAGCGGCCGAACAGCCATCCACGGGCCCTAAAGCTGCATCCTCCAAGCACCTGCCCCCCGCACGAGCGGCACCGTGCATGTGCGCCGAAAAACGAAGCTGGAAGTTAAACCAACGGTCGCCGCCGGATACTCTCGCCGCAACATCAGAGGCGCGCAGGGTACCTGTTAACGTACGTAGGGTTTATTAAATGTGTGGTCAGTGACGGGAGGCTACGTACGTCAGTACGTGATGCACGTTCTGGTGAATGAAAAAAAAAAATATATATATATATATATATTAGATCGCCCACTTTATTTTTATTTATTTATTTACTTTTAATTGTATTTAAATGTATAGGAAGGGAATAAATTATTATAAGATTGTTAATGTACGGAGACAAAATCCTGGATCCGACGCTGGACGAACGGAAAAATTAAAAGAAAAATATCTGGTGTGTGTTAGAGGTACCGGACGGTGAGGGCGGAGAAGTCGGGCTTGCCGGAAAAGGGAGGAGGGGGTCCGCCGACAGGAGAGGGCGGTAGGCGAAAGAGCGGAACCAGAGGAGGAACGGTGGTAGGCGAAGGGAGAGGTAGTGGCCATGAAGCGCGAGTTCACACGGCCCACTTCTTCTTGAGACGATATGCTGCCCGTACGAGGATGACGAGGCGGACCGTTGGAGGCCCGACCGAGGTGGACGGCGTGAGCTTGCCATGCAGTTGTCGCCTTTGTTCGGCCACGAGGGAGACAGATTGTATATGGTTTTTTTTTTTTTTTAACTGGGCGGCTGCTCTCGTCTGCTCTGTCTCTCTCTCTCTCTAGGGTTGTGAGGGAGACCCTTTCTATTTTTTTTTTTGTTCCTTTTTTTTCTTTCTTTGTTTTCCATTTCCAGAGAGAAGGAAGGGCTCTTTGGAGGAGGAGGAGGAGAGGGGCGTTCGCGTTTAACCGTGTGGTAGTAGGGGATCTGGGAGTCCTGAGGATCTGGGGTTCTCGGAGAATCTCGGGGAATTGCTCGACAGCTAAGCTAAAGTGGTACGTGTGGCATGGGCTTTTAGCTGAATTTTGCCTGAGAGGGATTTATGGGGGTTTTAATACGCTACTCTTTATATTCCCGTGGTTAATTTTAGCTTGTGACTCCTTTCTTGGATACTTACTTCTTTAAACGAAATTTTGATAGTAAAAAGAGATCAAAAATAATGGAGGCTAATATATTTCTAGCTTATTAAAAAAGTAACATGTGTCCATTAATCTCTATCTTTCTAAGAATTCTCGTTAAATTGAAACTATTCATATCCATTACTAGAAATTCATATTCATAGAAAAGTAAAAAAATTCTAACAATTAAAATTTTGCTTATTCTAAATGCGCTCTAAGTATTGACAATTAAAAAAAAAAAATCTAAAACATTGTCATTGTACCTCCTTAATTGTTTAAAAAGTAAATTTCAATAAACCCCTCATAATTTTAAATTGAGCACTAAACTCCCAAAATATCTGCAATTCTCACTAAATCCTTAGTAAGTTTGATAATTTTAGAAAACACTAAATTTTTGAATATTTGCACTTAACCTCCAAAATGTCGTTATCCCAAAAATTCACATCGGCTAAATTTATCCTCAAGGATAGTATACACCCCTCAAATCGATCTTATTTTGTAAGTTAACCCATAATTTATAAAAAAAGAAAATTACAAATAGCTACTAAAAATCCTAAAATTACAAATACTACTAAAATTTTTTGAAAGCTAAAAAAACAATATGGCCACTAAAAAATTGAAATTGTAAGAAACCATTGAAAATCTTAGAATTGAAAAAAAAAACTCGTAAAGTTCTAAAATTATGAATGACACACAAAAAAAATCATAAATTACACAGAACTTCTTTAAAATGTAAAAAAATACAAACAAATTAAAAATTGTAAGCAACCCTAAAAAATTCAAAAATTCAAACAAACATAAGAATAATATGAGGATTACAAAAAAATCCCATAACAAGTGAAATATGACAAATAGCATTCTAAAAATTTTTAAATTGCAAATAGCCCCCTAAACATCTTAAAATTCAATAATAGACCCTTTAAGTTAGAAAACTACAAAGAAACCCTAAAAAATTATAAAAACCTAAAAAAATATAAAAGGTATAAACAAGCCTTCGAAAAATAAAAATTAGAAAGAAACCTTAAAATAATTCCAAATAATGAAATTATTGGTGGTTTAGTGAGATTTACCTTTATGTTAATTTTGTGGGTTTCATGAAATTACAAAAGAAAAACTTAGAAAATCTAAAAATTTTGATAAAAAAACTCTTACCATTCTAAAATTATAAATGATCCATAAAAAATTCATAAGTTATAAACAACCTATGCAAAATTTTAGAAGTACAAACAACCCCTATTAAAATTTAAAATTAAAAACAACCCCCTAAAAAATTAAATTTTCAAACAAACACATGAAAAATATGAAAATTACAAAGAATCCAATAAAAATTAAATATGACAAATAGCATCCTGAGAAAAATTTAAATTGTAAACAAGCTCCTAAAACTCTATAAAATTATAAACAAATCCTTTAAATTAGATAATTACAAAGAAACATTAAGAAAATTACTACAAAACTAGAAAAATAATAAAAGTACAAATAACCCCCAAAAATTTATAATTAGAAGCAAATCTCCTAAAAATTTGAAAATACATAACCAACCTCTTGAAAATCCCAATGATTACAAAACCCCTTTGAAATGATCTAAAATTATAAGAATCCGATGTTTTGGGTTTTTTTTGCTAAAACATATTTTGGGTTAAGTTATAAAATATAAACTTATAGGGTTATGAGGGTAACAATGTTAGCTATTTGAGCGTAGAGTGAGAAGTGCTCATGAGGATTTCTTAAATTTTCAAACTTGAGGGGGATTATCTATAATAAGCTCAAATTTGAGGGGTCTCTCAAATTAAAATAGTTGAGGGATGTTTTCTTAGATAGTCGCTACATTTGAATTGGTGGGTTGGGGGAGTGGAGGTTAAGTGAGGAAAGTTTAAAGGATTATCTCAAAGTTTCATAGTTGAGGGGGGCTATCTACAATATGCTTAAACTCAAGAGAATTTTCTCATATTAAAATAGTTGAGGGAATTTTTAAAAATTTAATCCATTATTTTTAGATATAATATTAAAAAATTACATTAAGGAGTGATTATAAGAAACCCCCTTTACCTTTTAATTTTTTTATCAGAAAACCCCTCTAGTTTGAGATTTTATCAAAGAATTCACCTAAAATTATCGCTTTTAAAGTGGTTTACTAAATAAGGGGTTTTCTGATAACCTCTAAAATTTAGTGGATTTTGTGATAATTTCAATGTTATGCGAGATTATCTGATTATCATCCAAAGTTATTT